TTATGTCACTTAAGACTAAATATTGTAATTACCTTTGGAAACAATGCTCAGAGACTGAATATGGAGTCGACTGGATAAATAGACGTTAATACTTAAATGATATAGTAGGCCCCCAGTCCGAGACCCCAGCCGCACGCTGAGTAGGCCTGTTAGTAGAGTACGCTATGGACACATGACATGCGCGTCTCATCATGAGTACATTGTAACACACGCAGCTTAACCCTATCCGTACGCCCTGGGGTCATTTTGTACCCCCGGGGTTGTATTTTTCACATTTTAGAATACTTCTAGTGCGAAGATCTCTTTGAAACTTTCAGTATTAAATAAAAAAGCATATTGAATGACTGTTATGCAAAGCGTACGGATCGGATTAACGAGTAGATTTCCTGTTTTAAAAGTGGTGGCACAGAGTTCCCCACGTCGAATGGATACGATAGTAAAACACGACGTACGGATAGGGTTAACGTGAGTTTGTGACACGTGACAGCCCGTACATGTGTGGAAATTTACTCCCACCTCGCGACTTACAACATTGAGGAAGACTCGTGGAAAAAAAAGTCTCATGATGCGTCAATAGTAATAGTAATGATAATAACCAGAAAATAGTAATCTTGATTAGAATTATAATTATTATTATAATTTCAGTGTACGCCCACTGCAATACACTTCAGCTCAAGGCAAATGACAACACGTTCTACATATCATGCATGGTGTACGTACATATTATGCTCTTCAGATGAACTCAAACACATAATAAACCAATATTCATACTATTACAGTACAATTGGTCGCTTCTAAGCACAAGCGGGCTATCCGGAAAAAAGTTGTTTCGAGAAAATCGAAGGTAAAGTTTTTGGACCCCTGTTCAGATTCTTTAAAAGACAAGGAGAGTTTTCTCTACAGCCAAACAAATATACACACCGATGAAACCATTTTCCTATAGGTAGTGCAATGTCCACTTTTGGTGTAGATTAAGCTTTCTGGAAACCCTCGAAATCTGGGTTAGCCCGCTTGTCCTTAAAAGCGACCAAATATGCACTTACCACTTAGAGGATAAGAGTGTTACGAATAGGAAGTACTTACTATCAGGATGACATTTCTTATGGTATTTTAAAATGAATTTTTTAATTTTGCCTCCGAATTTGTATCCCTCAAGTGCTGTGGGAAAGAGTTCTAGAAAGATGTAGCTAAATGAAAAAAGAACATCCCTTCCTAGGTGCTCCCGTTAGAGAATGATCTCCTGATCTTCATGATCTTGGTGGACACACATTTGAATAAGGTTGCTTAAAAACGAAGGGGCTTTATTTTTACTACAAAGGACAGCCATTTTATAAATAATTCAGCTTTCCGGGAAGCATACAGTGCAAGAAACTGGTTAAGCGCTCAAACACTAACAAACTAACAAGATCTTTCACTATCTATAGCTGAGTACCAATTTTCACCTGGGCGAAGTGAGAAAACTTCGTGTAAAGTGACTTTCCCCAAGGACACATATCTTCCACTGAGTGATCTGACTATTTGCGTGGAAAGGGAGGGGGGGGGAAGGGGGATGTGACTGATTTTACGGCTTTTTTATCCTGTCCACAGAGCGACTGGAACCTGTACAGCCAGCACCCAGTGTATATGATCATGGAGGAGGACGGGAGCGCCAACATGGTTCTGTTGAAAAACTCGAACGCTATGGGTGAGTGGGTGGATGAGTTTAGTGGGGGTTTGAGTGTATGTG